TTTTAAGATAATGGATACCACTAGATCGAACTATATTTACACATAATTCACATGCAAGTACCTAAATAAAATTATAAAAAATTCACATACATTTATTATCAATTTAGGTCAGACAGCCATTATCACCGTCGTAAGTGCAATACATGTCAATCGAATCAGCCGTAAAAGTACACTAATGAATACGATGGTTGGACACATTTGTGCTGTAACTTTAAATCGATATTACATTAAGAAGGAAGAAATGCGAATAAGAAGTAATTTCTGTGCTGTTAAATAAGTCTGTTTGATCGATAATTATTATTGCGATTCGTCACTGTTCGTATCTAAATAAATAACAATGATCTAAATGAATAAACGCTGTTGGTTGAGACTGACTGGACGCATTCAACAGATATTTTTATATAGCTTATTTTTGAAGTCAAAGTAAGTAGATACTTAAAGGAATAAACAGACAAAAAATATCGAGTGTAAAAAAGCAATACAAATAACTGCAACCAATTGCACAAAAAAACTTTATTTAGATAGATAACCGTAGATCTCAACTTTCTGGTTCATTTTTGATATCGTTTAGACTTTAGATACATCATAAAAGACCTAGGGGAAGAAAGGAAACATTTTCAGATATGACTTTTTGTTATCATCATTCAAAATATTGTCACGCAAGTTCTGAACGAATTATATTCTTCCTATTATCTGAAAATGAAACCTTAATTATGTACTTATATTTGAGTTAAAAGGTTACAATTTTTGGGCAGTTAATTTCCATTTATTTTTAATCTAATTATATAATTATTATTATTACTCTTAAAGCTGAAAAAAATCATATTTGCTAACTAGTATGCAAGAACTGAAAATTAGAGACTATCCTAGAGATCACTTTAATTCCAAATTATTTCTTTAATAATATTTACGAGTATATATCGTTATACGAGTATATACTGATATCGTTAGCAAACGCTTATCAGTTTGGATAATAATGGATACATTCTAATCGCAATGAAGTGAAAAAGTACACGTAGTTTTTAATAAACAATCCCATAAAGGAAGACAAAGGCCTTTGACTGCAACACGTGGGGGTGTTACGTTTACTGTCTGGCTTCTCGGGTTAATGTGTTGTGTAAATGTCGCGATAAAATTGTTTGTGAAGAACACAAAGACGACTTATAATTACTAAAGAAGCAAAAGAATACAATAATATCTATCGATAGTTTTGTTGATACGTATATTTTGTGCTGATATTTGGTAACACTTCTAAAAACTTTCAGCATAATCGGCAGTTTTCGGCAGCACCATTCGGTCCGAAATGTAGGAACGCAGAATACTATCATTTTGGAACTAACTGCGGTCAATTACAGTGCAGGGCCTCAATAGGGCTCTCTTGCTTCCGATTATGCCCGGATGTTGCACACTATGAAGGTTACCCGGTGGTCCTGAGCTGAAAGAGCTTGAAAGCTGGAGAGCTTTGCACTGTTGTCGTTATAAATAAATCATAACAGGAGTGCTATTTACGGACGCAGTATGGTCTCGTCTGAATCAACGATTCTCATTTCATAATCCGACATACAGATCCTTACCTTTAGTGTATTTGTCAAAGTTTATCAATACTTAATCAATATAATTAGCGTTGTATTAAACAGTAATAAGTATAATTTTTATTTAAATAAATATATCGACTGTATATTTACCTTTGTTATCCTAAGACAGGATAGATTTCTGTCGAGGATCAAATTGGTTCTGATTACCCGATGGGATAATATTTAATTTTAAGTAACTGCCCTTGAAAAAATAAAATTTGGTTTACAAATTTAATGATTCTCCACAAAGTGCCTTTATTTCTTATTCGAGATATATATTCAAGATAATACAAATTCTTTTATAATTAATTAATACTCGTTCTTACTTTAAGTATAATCAAGGTAGGCGTGCACGCAGCTGTATATTTTTATTTTACGAGCCCTAAACGCATTTCAATCTTTTATTACATTTTGGTATTGGATTGTATAATTAATAAGACACATTTGAAGATTTCGGGCGCGCGGATTTTATGACATCTTAATGTGTTACTTTTATATAAACTTAATATAAAATGAATGAACGATCAATGGTTATCCATTATAAGTTATTTTCCTTCTAGGTTTACGTAGACATTTCTCGTTGCAACATCAATGTTGCATATAACATCTAACCATGTTACCCAATCGTGTAATAAAATAGAGGAAATACCTCGTTCGCCCACGCTTTCAATGTATACGATTTGATAGATTATAGGTAATGTCTATCTTTCTAACTTTCTAGTTTATGATTAGTCCCTAGATTTGAGTCGTATAATATTATCATCTAAGGGAAATATTATAATGTTGGAATAAGAAGAATATTTTAAAGCGGTATCTAGGTATATGTATTCAATAATCTTTAAAACCAACTTCAATTCGCCTACATTACGATAAGTAAAATTGAATTTTTCATTTCTTAATTTTCACCCTTAGGGGTAGAATTCTTCTCCAAATTGGAATGGGACCAATCGAGATTTATACTCTATACAAAAAAAAAACAAAATAGAGTCGAATTCAGAATCTCTTTTTTTTAAGTCCCTTGAGCACACAATTACACAGAAACACGAAGACTAAATATATTTACGCAAACCAATAACGGCAATTATGCACTACAGCTATATCACCTCTTCAAATATTGTCCGATATTGAACACTTTACTTTTAAAATATTGCAACGTAGTAAATTATGTTAATAAAATATTACAGTGCAGAGTTAAGCGAATGGTCATTGTTGCATTTAAAATACCAAGGTTACTTACTGCAAAGAGAGTAAATAGTGTTCATGATTATGGACTTCTTGGTTCCGATAGATATCAGTTATTAAACCTTAAAGGTGTCGACCGGTATTTAATATGCGGTTCATAATTGCAATAAAATGCAATCTGTTTCGTTACAGTATTAGTATTCGGAACGGCTTTGGTTAACACTTCAAGTTCAATATTGTGTATAACGCAAATATTGTGTGTTTTTTAGTATTTCTATGTGTAAATAATGAAATATTTTTGACATAAAACATTATGCACTCTAAAATAACGCTACTAAACAGAACTTACTTTCTTTTGTCTCTGAACATCAACATCACCCGATGTTTATGTTCAGAGACAAATGCATCTGAAACCGGTTAGCCGATTATTCAGTATAAATTATATGCAGGGTGTGATGGTAGCATCAGAAGCTTGGCTCTTTTTGTAGTAGCGTCAGGATTAGAGAAATGCACAAACTGATAATAGTTTTATAAAGGTATTTTGCGTAGATAGAGTTTCTTTTATTGTATTTTTTTGTTTTTCTTTAAAAAAGACAACTTCCGCATTAGGAATATATTCTGTGTCGCGGGGGACTTTAAAAACATACATTAAACGGACACAAAGAACACCCAGACACGGAACAACAATTTGTGGATCACACAAAGTGTCGTCCCATGTGGGGTTTGAACCCACAACACTCGGCGCAGTAGGAAGCGGCGTGGCGACCGCTTAAACTACTACGCCATCCGTGCAGTCGAAGTTATCACGAAGGCACTGTCAAATGTTTCCATGAACGTTCGAACGAACCACAGAACAAATTCTCTCTTTTGTGTTCTATTCTTACATCGTTAGTAAATCTTTAATTTCTGTAGTATGCTTTTATTTATTTTTCTTACAACGTAAACTTCTATTAACGAAGGATTAATAAGTTCACGATTCTTGCCTCAGGAATTTCCTTTGTGTCGGCACACAAATTACTCATGTGTTTCGATTTGTTTTCACGTCTTAACTGGGTTGAATGAGTCGTATTGCGGATATCTATTAGTTTTATTTAAATATTATAAATTGAAACTATATACATGTAATAAATGTAAGGAATTATTAATTTTTCAGATTTCACCACGTGACGTAACCATTATAGTAAAATGAAGTAGTTTTAATTTAAGATTCCTAGAAACCGTTTTTGTTTTTAATCGATTTAAAAAACGGATTGCTTCAGTACTCTGTCGTTTAAGAACTGAATATTCTTATTTATTTGTGCAAACTTGTGCAAACTTTTTGTTTGGTGCTTTCAAATTACAAGAAAAAATTGGTTTTATTTATTTTATTGGGGTTGTCCCCAAAGGGTGAAGAAATAAGGAATAAAGAAGTACAGTCTATTACAATTCCACATGATGTAGAAACATTGAGGTAAGGGATACTGTTTTAAAAGTTAATCATTAATTAACTTCTAGGAAGTAAAATGAGGGTAACATTAAATGCTGAAAGGAATGTTCAAAGTGAATATAAACGGGTTAACTTGAACAAGAACATTGGCTGACGTCAGTATGAATGGCGATCGGTCATTATGCTCATTTTGTACACAACGTAGGTACCTACTTATCATTGCACATTACGAAGGAAATCGTTGCCTTATTTGTCCAATATCCCATTTAATATACTTGTCTTGTGCGGTTTTAAACTAGTTTTGATATGTAAACAATAACAACCTTTAAATAATTATAATGAATTGACTCTAGGATTCAGAATAAGGAACAATTTAGGCAAGAATTTTCTTTTAATTATAACATAAAGAGTGAATGACCGTCACACATAAAAAATTTTTATACATCAGATGCTTTCTTATTAAATAGCTATTACATTTTTGTATACACGTTATACACAATAAATAAACTGTAAAAATACATTTTCATTAATGTTGCTGATTCGTCATTAAAGCACATACCTACTGTATACATAAATAATAAATATCAAAGGAGGATACGTAGTTTAATTAAACCTCATTTTAACTCTATACAAAATGAGGTTTGAAAAATTCTAGACAACGCCCGATTTAAGCCAGTTTGAATATTTTGAATATTACGATATAACTTAGCTTTATTACCGTTTTTGTTCCAAAATTTCTTATGATGCCTCCGGATAAAAAGCTAATTAGTATTTTCTATTAAAAATATTTATATATAATATGAATTTACTTACCAATTTTACCACTTGCCATATGTAGGATTGTTGAAGTTGGACGTCGGAGGTTTATACAGAGGATTCTGTCCCACGCAGTCTACAGCGTCGATATCCGTGTAGCCGACGCCATTCAGAGGGACGGGAGGCAGCGCATTCATGTGCTTATAGATCATAACTCCGGCCACTGCAACCAGAGCCGCCACAGCCGCTAGCACACCCAGGACTATTGACACTGAAGGACGAAGAAAGTTAAGTTGTAGACTTAATCATAAATATTATAATATCGGTACTTAAATCCTACAAAACTCTTCTTTGAGTGTTCACACTTAAAAGTGAAAGTTTCGTAGTTTTTTTTTGTGTACTATAAACCTGAAGAGTTAATGTAAGAATACTTTTAGCATTCTTGTTTATCTTTATATGGTTATGTTTATAAATAAAAAAAGAATCACACATGTTTTTTTTTATTTAGACTACTGTAATATAATGTTTTGCATTCTTATTAATCATAACTTACTTCGTATTAAGTTATTAAGATCACGAAATTAAAAAAATATATCTTAGTCAACTTCCATGGTTACAATCAAAGCTTTTATGTCATTGCTGTGCATCTTTTTAAGGGTCAAATAAGGGTAATGAACTACGTATTATAAATAAATTAATCGAGGTAGATACTATGCTGTACGAGTCATTTTATTTTTAAAGCTTCATTACAATAAACACGCAAAAACTGCAGGGCGTCACAGGTAAAGCGTATATTGTGTAGCTCTGTCAGGATGGCGAAAGCATGACGTCTCCTACTGTCAAATTACTTAATGGTGCAATTTTATTAGGGATATAGAAACTGACTACTTATTAGAAATAATATTTTTTTCTTAATTAAAAAAGCCGTGTGATGTCGTGGGACACCCGATAGGAACGAAGTTGTGACGATCGAGTAAAACTGATTCGACACGATTTTAATTACAACGCCATTTATGAAAGCGGCTATTACCTACATATTTTTCAGTTGGTTTCTAATTAAAACAATTTATATATTGGTAAAATCTCCTTGAGAAATGATTTCCTATCTATTCGATAGATGGCGCTGAATGACTGACATAAAAGTGTCGTTACAACTTTTCGTGAGAATTTTTTCCGTCCAGCCCCCTTTCACAACGCGCGATAAGGAACTTCCTTCCAATAACATTGTTTTCCTCCTGTCTATTATAGTATTTTAGTCAAGGTATTATTTAGTTACTATATATGGGAAAGTGTGAATACAGGGTTTCACTTAATTACGCCAGAACTGTTGAATGAATCTGGGTGAATTTTGGGAAAAAAAATAGATCATAGTATATATAGATATAGGTCTGGAATAATACATAGACTTTTTTGTTGCGGAAAATTTATTGACATTCGCTAGCGAATGCGCCGGCAAAAACCAGCTTAATATAATAAGTAACAACCTGTTGACATTTTTTTATTAATTAGTTGAGTGTTTTATAAAATTATACACATATAATGCTTTGTACACCAACACTTTGTTTGTCATTATTTTAGAATTGTATATATATAAATATATGTAATTTCAATTTAGTAGGTAGGTTAAACAATGTAAGACGTGGGCGGAGTTTCCTAACACCTACAATGTTTGAAACATAATAAGGCGGAGAACAATACTTATCTTTTCTTCGGTTTGTTTAAAAATAGCCGATTGACTGAGCTAATTCTACTTATAAGCATAATGTATTCAGGTGCCCTGTGATTTTCAACATTGGGTATCAATGGATAGATGAGACAATCGTCAATTATTATTCATGTTACTAATAATAGTCATCTATATTGCCAACGACAGAACAATTAATATATCTGTCGTCAGAGGCATGGTAATTATTAACTCGACAAGTACATTTATTTAGAGTTGATTTTTATTTTCAACTTGCCGGCAATGTGCTATTTTATTCTATCCCTTTATCTTTTAACTCATAACCTCCTTTTTGTACGCGTGGAATCCCTCTCGGATCGTCACCCTACCCATCGGGGTTGTCGGTAGGGTGGTGGATCGGAATCAAACCGACCTAAAACGATCCACACGGAGTGCGATACTGCACTCAAATAGGAGGGATCCAGTGTCTTAATAAGATATTCGGACCCGTCCTAGTAACTCATATTCCCTATATCAACCTTTTCATAATATTATCCTGTTTATTATAAGAGTACGGCCAATATAATCCGTATAAATCCTTCTTATAGTTCAAGTACACACAATTTCTTCTACACTCATTAGGTATATCATACTTTATTCTTCGCTAATTTGTTTGTTTTCATGGTAGAGGTAAAACCAAACCACTCCACCATGGAAATCAACCCCTTTTATTTATCACCGTCTTTAGAAGTATTTTTTACTTCTTTGAACCAGCTGCAGCTGTTGTACATTTTTGCCATTGCAAAATCATTTACTTTCAATGTTTGGTTTCAAGTATAACAAATTAAGAAATAATAACGAGCTAATTTAAATTTTAAAGGAACTAATAAATAAATAATTTATTTTAATCATAGGCAGCTTACTAAGTTCCAATTGTATTGTACCTTCGTTTATCTAAATAGGGTTTATACATAATAATTAATAATGATGAATAATAAATGTCATTCAAAAATGTCTCATCACACTCTTGTTATCAGTGGCGGGTAAACACAGAGTGATATCATTTTCTAGGTCACGAACATTTTTGTGTTAATGGTGTGGTATTAAAGATAATGACGGCTTTGTGTATCAAGAGAAGAGGGATCTTGGTAGACACAATTATTTTTGACAAGATATGTTAACATTTTGAAAATTATTTTAAAAACTTGTTTGTGTTTTGAACAAATTCCAGACTAGCTAAAAAGGAATTAATTAATTCATTCATTTAAAAAAATGCACTAAATTTTATCTTCTTTTATAAGTACTAGTTGCAATTTTACTAATATAAAGTTTTTTACTACTCTATTTCTAACAAAACAAGCTTGTATTAATAAAACAAGGGAAGAATTTATTTTATAAAAATGGTATTTGGGCTCTAAAACTAACCACAGATTATTTAAAGATTTTGTGAAGCAAAGACAACCATTCCCGATGGGACTTTTTTAAATGATATTAAAAAAACAAACAAGTAAAGACGTGGAATAGCATCTACCAGATATTTTGACATCTAGTCAAATAAATAAAGTGTAACAAAGGTTGATATAATGAAACATTCTTAATAATGTTTGTTATGTCAAGACCAAATGCGATAAATACATATGTTCTTAGAAAGCAAATGATATATACCACAGCTGGTGCCAGTGCATATTCATTTGTTCCTTCATGTCAAAAGCCAACGGAATTATCGAACACATCTGTGTAAACTTGAGGTTTCACATAGTGTACACAATCATAAACTTTAAGCACTTCATTTTAACGTATACTTTTAAAAAGAGTAAGTTACATAAAATACCTTTTTGATTAATTTATAAAGCAGTCATTGTTTGTACATGACGACAACACAGCGAGTGAAGCAAAATGGTCTAGACCTGTTTTCTATTTTTTTTTGGATATTTTAACTGAAGTTTGCAAAGAGTGGTTATATACAATCGGTCTTCAGGGGTCATATAGAGCTTTACATGAATACTAGTAATGTGTGACGTCATTAGTTATACTTTTAGAAAAAGAAAGAAATGAGTCGACCAAGGTGCTAATGGTAAATCTTTACGGTTATTTATAACCAGTCTTCTACATTGCCGATTCTAACTTCGAAAAAATACTAGTAACCTCACCGATCAATAAAAACGACATTACGTAATTAGGACTGGCTCTTACTACCCGTCTCCGGTACGGTCGAGATAATTTTCCAGTGCAAAGATTTATTTGCAATTTTTTTAAAATTGCAAAATTAAATCTTTGCTCTTTGCAAAATATTTTAAAATTATGGTAAATTATTAAATCTGCTCAAATCTACCTTAACCTACAGCGAACTCTAGCCAATGTTTATAGTTTTATGTAAACAGTTGTGATCAGAGTGGGCTTTATTTCTGGATTAGACAAGTCCGTGCAAGATTGTGCAAGTCCGCACAAATAAAAATTTTACTAAGGTATGTCTAATCTATATATATCTTGTGTATTTTATAAAAATGATGTATTAGGCCGTTCAAGTCAAAACACTATTTAATGCATATTAAAGAGTAATTCCTTACCTGTAGGTGCCGCAGTGTAGGCTCCAGTATTGTTATCGTTACACGACTCCATCACCATTACATACACCTCGCCATCTTCCTCCCTCTTAGCCCTATAATTGATGCTACAGTCTTTCACCACCATACTGCACTTCACCCACATCTTTCTATTATTGGAATCTGTTTCATTCAATAACGATTCGTTCTTACTTAGAACGTTCACATTCGTATAGCTAGGGAAGGCGGCAATGTCACATTGAGATATCGTGCTGTTGTAAATGCAGTCGGTGCAGTCGGAGCACTCGTTGACGGTCATGCAAAGATCGCTGCATAAGTCTTGTTCGAAGTACTGGGATCCTTCTAGGGTCATATTGCAGTGGCACATGTTGCAATGATCGCAGTAGCCATTGCCTGAACAGTCCAGCTGGGGGAATAACATAAGTATGCATTGACAGATCTGTAAACTATTAATAGATACATATGTACATATCTTCTTAGATATGTATCTATTTAGATTTTATATTTTGTAGGATGTTACGACAAAACCTAACCGAGTGTTGTTGTTTATTGCAATTACACTTTAAATAGGATAGAAAAAGTTCATATGAATTTACGATTATTTTATATACAAATTCCAGTAAACGTCTATTAAATAGGTTTTTTTACAAATACAGATAATACAAAAGTTTTACCTTTTAATTATCTAAAAGATTTTTTACAGAAATGTGAACGTTTGGACAAAATAACACGGAACAGTGAAATATTTAAAATTGGAGAAAGCTCTGCCAAAGGGTGAATCATTCTTCTATCTCGTCTCGCTCTTGACTAACCCTCATAATTAAATATATTATTTTAATTAATAAATCACTTACATCGTCAATAGAGCTCTTACACGACGGAATGGTATCGCCTCGCTCTGGACAGTCTTCTTGGTTGCATCTTTCGCCCTTCCTGGACAATGTAACATATGTAAGTTATAATTTTTTACATTTGCTTGTACATTTATAACATATTTTTACGGAACATTGTTTAATTTGATGAAGAGAAAAGAGAATTATAATATTGATCTTACAATTTATGAATCGCCAGTATATTTTAGGACAGCTTCAAATATATTTTTTCAAGTCCTTGTTTTGTATATTCGTACCCCATAAAAGTTCTAGTTCTTTGTTCCGAAATTAAAGTGACTATTTAATAACATGGATGAGACATTGTATCTTAGCACAATCAAAAACAGATCAATTGAGAACAACTTTTTTATACAGATGTTTTTTGTAGATAAATGATATCAAACCATTGCTTACTTTTAATGACCCTGCAACTCGCTATGAAGAGGCAAGCACTCCTTGTTCAATGATGAACGGGACATGGTATGAACAAAGATGTTTTTGTTGCATTAAATCTAAATATTTACAATTAACTACATGCAAAATTAAATCTTAGGACGAATATATATAAAATATGTTGCTTGGACAGTTAAGTTATGTTTTGATTCATTGTGTCCACATTTCGATGAACTCAGTTTACCTTATGTACGTGCTGAATTGGTATTTGGCGAAAGTGTATTGATAATTACGTCACTTCATAAATTATAATTAGCGATTACTTATGTTATAGGTATTTTTTTAATTTCGGAATATGAAGGTCGTGCGTTTGATGAATATTAAACAATGCTGTAGTGTCTCGATAAAATATGTTTTCTATTTTACTCTTAACAATATTTTTACGCGTAATACGTGATTTTATAACAAATAACTACATGAAATATAATTTACCATCCATCTTCACACTTGCAAGCGCCACATGAATAGTTGCCGTGTCCACTGCAAAAATTTGGCGGGCCAACATCTGTGCTGCATTCGCACGCACAAGCGACGTGGTACTTGATCAAAGCTGGTTGACTTAAGTTTCCGATAGTGACTTTAACATACACAAACTCTTGATTAGTTCCAGATTCAGAACAGAATTTATACTTAGGTGATGCCTCGATCGATGTGGTACAACTCTTATCTGTACATTTGATCATTGAGTCGTCTTCTTGAACGCGGAAATGACGGCTTTGCGTTGAATTCAAGATTTCTGTTTTTATCTGTAAAAATGTTCATATTAATAATATCAAAAGGATTTATCTAATTCTAAGCGTAACAATGTGTAAGTCAGAGAAGGTTTTGTTGATTTGACATATTTTAATTAATTTTATTTAAATAGTGTAAGTACCATATAAAAGTACTATCATTATATAGTAATTTAAACAGTAGACAATAACTTTAGTGGTTTTAATCATCAATTTTATTAACAGGTAGACAAAGTAAAAACAAATTATATTGTAAACAACAATTAAAAATGTATCTGTAATAATTCACTTCCACAATCATTTCTAATATTTCTACCATGATGCGTATGTGTAATTATAATTATAGTATCGTTATAAAAATATTGTAGCCGTAATTTTTATAATAGATATAATTATTTTATAAGAGTAGCTCGTTTGTGGAAGACGTTGAAGATAATTTTTATGACATTTAGCTGAGACTGAAGAGCGTAGATACAACCTACGCGAACGAATTCAAAAGTAACAGGTTCTAAATTGGATTGTATCTTTTTAAATTTGTTACTTCAGACTCCGTTATTTGGAAAATTGATATTTTTTCTAAAGGTATACTTTCCGGTCGGTAATTCAAATTGAAAGCACGAATATCATCCCTAAGGCGGAAAAATAGAAGAAATTTGTACGTGCTCGAATTTGCTTATGATTTACTAATGTATCAATAAGCATATAGGTATATTTATGTAAATAAATACATATGAAAAATTAACCGTCTAAATATTAAGTGTTTTGTTAAACAAAATGCATTGTTTTTAATAATACACACCTCTAATCGTGTTTTGGATTGGTACGTCAGTTTGATCGTAGATGTGCCTTCAACCAATACCGATCTTTCGGAGTAAATTGGTGTGATCAAATCTCCTGGTTTTCCGACCTGTCTGATTTGAAATAGGCTTTGTTGGTGATAAGGGCACCAACTGTCTTCAGGTTCCCGGTTGCATCCGACATTCTGAAAGAAAGAAAATACTTTAATATTTTTCATCTTTATTCAACTGCTTCTTTGCCAAAGTGAATGATCTTAGAATATCATCTATTCTAGTGTATAAAAAAAATTGGTCATCAAAATATGTATTAAGTTTTTAAGTAATAAAACTTCTTATTGACTTGGAGGATCTTAAATATAACAGGCAGGTGTTTAGGCGCCAGGTACTTCTGAGTAATGAGGATCTTACGTAATGAGATATTAATAATAAATAACCTTAATTAAAACAAGCAATTTAAGATAGGTACTCTTCGTATGTTATTTTTTATTTTAAACCTACTTTAAAAACACAAAAGAGGAGGTTCTTAATTCGTCGGTTTTTTTGTGTGTTTGTTGTTAATAAAAGTATCGTAAAACACGAGTCCACTAGTAGTTCTTCTTTGAGATAACAAGCCGCAGCTCATGTTAAATATTATGTTGAAATCTTATTAAAAACTAGGTTTTACCCTCGGGGGAGGAAAAATTGTATTCCTAAGGGAGAATATTAAGGAACGAAATTACAATTCATGACGGCAAGGCGCAATGAGACAGTGATACTTTTTCCTCAACTGTTAAAATTTATTTATCAAACAGAAATATATATGTATTACAATACATTGAATAAATAAAATAAAATATGTATTTACGTATATGTTTTTAACCGAACTGATTAAAATATTTAGAAAACCGTATTTTCTAATGTAATTTTTCCTGCCAATTTAGATGAATTTGCAGAAGCTTTTCTACTTCTGACTCTTTAGGACCGAGTCCGTATTAAATGCATATGAAAGAAGCATGAATAATATTAATAATGGTTTTTATTGTAAGTACATAATGTGAGAAACTATGTCTTCTATGTATTTTATGATTGACAGATTCGCACCATATAAGTATAACCGCCAATGCAGGTACCGTCAGCTAGAAACATTAATAAATGACTAGCCAATTATAACCATAGGTATATTATCAACAAAGGAGTGTCCGGCTGCACATACTAATTCTTCTATATACGGTTCGTTGTGCCTAGTCTTGCAATTATACAAATTGCAATGTTAATGATGCGGTCCAGATTGAAACCGGTTAGGTTCAGTGATGTAGCGCGCGTTAACTAGATGTGACAAGGGCGTGAAATTCGTTGAAACTAGAGCGTGGTCGGTAAACATCCTTGACATTTTTACGAGTAAGTTAATAATGAGATTAAGATTGTACTTAACAACAAACATCTTATGTAAATGTTGTTATTTTTCAGATATACATTAACATAGATGTGAAAAAAAAAACTACCGAATTACTCAATTACTTATCTTGGGTGAAATCAGACTGATTTACTTATAAGAAGTTTTTCTTCTTCCATATTTTTTTTTATTGTGCTTATTAAATGGTTAAATATTTGTGTTAAATGGCTTAAGAGCCAGTTAAATATAAATGTTGAAATCATTGACTGACTTGCCAACTAACTTTCACTTTTTGACCTGTATTTTTCATCTAGTTTTCACAAACTTTAACCCCCCGTTGCTTTGTAAGTTTGTAGACGTATCAAATACCGATAACGACTGCCCTCAACAGCACACAGTTAAAATTATAATTGGGTTATTAACAAAATAATTAACTTTGTTGTCAATTAAGTGCGATTTGATTATAATAAAGCTAAAATGAGACAGGTATATTTGGCTGTTTCGGGTAGCTTCTAAGGTATTTATAAAAGCATGCACCTCCACACGAGATGTATGCACAGGAATGCCATATTGACATAAACTAGTTTTCAACTTGCAATGTTTACCAATATGTTGAATAAATATATAATAAGACAATAAAGTGCAGTGTAATTATAATCGATTTATATCCATGTAACTTATTTCACTGCATAATGTTCATTGGCGCCGGCCATCAGTAAGTAATGACCAAGTTGGTAAGTTGTTTAACGCGACATCGATACAACTATAAGCTACCTGTCTCACTCATTAGGCGCGTTGTTATATACATTGTTATATAGTGACGGTGTTCTGAAGGGCGAATTAATAATCTGTAGGAAAGTAAACAACTAGTAAATGCAGATGTTCATTATCGCAAGCCATTCACGTACCATAAAACTTTTTGCTACATGGTAACAAAGTAATTTATGGTTGTTTTTCTAATGTGTGTTTTTCTATTAAACATTAGCAATTAAGTTATTATACTGTGCATATTCCAGAGTTAAGTAGATACATTATAGAGACATCAACTCAATTTTTAAAAACTTAAGTAAATTCGGCAGCTAAGGAATGACATTACGCCGAGACGTCTAGTACCTTTTTGTCACGTTCCAGTAGATAAATTATCAGCTAAGACATTCATTTGTATCAAGAAGACTCTAATCTCGTCAATTTTAAGATTACCACTACGGTTGGGAGAGATCGTAGATTTTTAACACTTTCTATTTAAATTATTTTAAGTATATTACGAATAGATTACCTACGTAATAGTTAAGTACTGTAAGACCGTGTCTAATATGCATAATTTATTTGAGAACAAAACTTAATAACCTACGGTTTATGGTACAAGTTAAGATGATTACAAAATACATTAATATATCATGTTGCCTTAAGCTAAATTAATATATTTATTATTTAATAGCCGATGGCCACAATGACACCAAAGTTAACTTTTGTTCCAATTTGTCTATTCCAGATAACTATACTTCAAGAAAGTATGGGAGCGGGCCTCGACGCCCACGCGAAATAATTTTACATAAAGGAATGCTGTTTAACAACAGGATAAGACTGAAGACGAGTATTCAAATAAAACCATAACGATAACACTTATTATCTACACACATATAATATTGTAGTATAATAATACCTTGGTTAGTAGTAAAGGCCAGCAACACGAAAGTGTACTAAGCGGTCAGTCGTAATTCCTCAATGGGTTCTATTCTTGAGTGTATGTACTCTAAAACGTGTTACTAAATAAATTATAATTTACGGCCCTACGATTACAATTCACGTTTACAATTTGTACACCTGACTTTATAGGCTTTTAAATATACCTACAGCAGTAAACAGGCTCTTTAATTTTTGACTTTGTGTACTCGTAAATCGTAAAAGTTGAGACTAAGCAGGCAATTTTAATTAAAAAAGTAAGAGTAGTAACAATAAACATGCCCCAACTTAGGTTCTATTCTATAAACAATTTCTTTCCCAATTCTTTTAACTGAAACGGGTATAATCCTAAGAAAATACAATAAAACCTTATAACAAAAGTACTATTTCTGGAATCTGGTTGCAGCGTCGTTGATCGAAATTCTAATGTTTTATTTTAAATTGACGTTTAAGTTTCTATGATGTAGCCGACTTTTATAGAAAATAATAATATTCTAGCTAATGTGTCTATCTATATATATTATCTCGCTACAGATTTGTAATTCTGCCTTGCGGCTGTAACTATCGGAGCTGGGAAGCAATCTTTTGAAATGAAACCAAAAGATAATCTTCCAGTTTGCCCTCACGTTGCGAGATATCTCATTAGTTTAATATTATAGTGAAAGGGCAATAAACCCTTAATAGGCGACAGTGCATATAAAACAGGCTATGTGGGTGTCGAGGTACTAGCACAGATCTTGATGATTGCTCGCGACCTGAGCTAATCTTTCCAATACTCTTCATTTGTGTGAGTGAGACAAAATATACTTATAATAATTACAATCACTATCTATGTTAATACAACAGTATGTTCGATGAGAGTTGTTTACAATGTTTTACATATAAATACGTTTTTATTTCCAACTCCACCAATTTACTTCTGATTAATTTCGTAGTTGGTTCCAAGACAGTTTAACTTTTCCTGGGTCCTGCCGAGTGTCATAACTCGGTGTGTTCGTGGGTCACTGCTGTTGATCTTGGTGTGTGGGAGTTACAGCAGTGCAGCAGTGTTGGAGGGATTAGTCCCATATTAATAAGTATGGTCTGCACACGCTACCAATGAAATTGTTTTTTTATCTTAGAGTCGAGTTTTGATTTTATATGTAATTCCTAACAACTTTGTAAAATAAACTAGACGAGTTTTTAACCCTTATATACTCGTGTAAATAGGGTTGAAAATTTTACAGTACGAGTAATCTAGTCCCCATTAACTGAACCTGACAGCAAATTTTTAAGTTAATCATTTAGAAAGCGTTTTAAATTATTTTAATCATATGTCAGTATCAAGCACTTGAGATAGTGAAGGCAGTTAAAATTGTGACGGAGCACTACTACGAGTACATATATTATATTATGTAGTGCGTTATCTATTTTAAAGCTGTTCAGACAGTTGCAGACAGTTACAAAAGCAAAGATAAGCAAGCCCTAATACCTTCAATCCACAATTTAAAATGAATAAATTTTACACATTTTAGTCTAGTATCGAGACTTCTTGCAGCAGTTGTGTTTGCAAGAATATCTGGTTATTTAATAAAAGAGTGTGCAACAACTTTATTATGAAATTTGTCATATAAACAGAAGCATCACAGTTGCTAATTATCTCAGACTTATCGGCTTGAGCACAAGTTGTTACGATTAAGATGATGTAAAACAATTTATCCATTGACGGAATATTAAACATTTATATTCAAGTTTTAACTAAGCAATTATTATTTGATAAGCTGTTCAAATATTTCACTTTGAAGTTATAAATTAAAGTTAATAGTTTTCGAGACCATGATAAAATTCTTGACCCGTTCGAGCCTTATCGATGCGGTTGGCTTGTGTGTGTGGCGGATAGTACGGAAATAGAAGGACTGACAGAATTGTTTACGTCCTAGAATACATAAAATTTGATCAATTGATCGTATAATCGCAGAAGGACACAACACAAACCATTAATTTTATTTGCTGGACCTACCCAGGATGTGTCTATGCTAAAGGAGTTACTGAGACTACTTATAATGAAAATACTGCAGTATTTAATTTCACACATTCTCCTATTACTATCTATACTATCTTTTAATCCAATTACAACAAATGGGATATATTTTTGTGTTGTGTTTGTTTGATACTCTAAGCTTT